ATAATATAATATAATATAATATAGCTATATAATATATAGTATACTCCCAAGTCAGTATTGCGGTTCACTTTAGATTCAGGCGATACACTAAAATGCTTCGGAGAGCGATGATGATGTCCTTTGTTTTTCGTCAGCTGCCCACACATGACACGGTGTTAAACAGCTAAGTCGTATTTCTCTGCACGCATCGCACCGTTTCTTGCACGATGAAAAGTATTGAGTCTAAAGATATCCTACGTTTCCTATTTTTCCGATGTTGATTCTGTCTTAGCCACTGTAAAGTGGCTTCCAAGCGTTCGGTCTCCCGAGGGCTGGTCCGGATGGGGAGGAGGCACACTGCGCGGTGAAGGCTGGTGATCGAGGGAGGAAGATGGTGCGTGAAGAGCGTAGTCCCTGCAACAGCTCTGACTGCTTTATAAAGTCCCCTAACAAGATCACCCAGTCTTCTCTTTCAGGACCAGCTTTCAGCAGTTCTTGTTATGGCATCTTCCATGTGTCGAAATCCTCCTGTGGCCAGGCCCTGGGCTATGAAGCGCCCGAGGTCGTGAGNNTTTATTTAGGGTTTAAGGTTTTAGGGTTAAGGGTTTAGGGTTTTAGGGTTTAGGGTTTAGGGGTTTAGGGTTTAGGGTTTAGGGTTTAGGGATGTCACTCTGCGAAAGGGGCCGTGCGTTGATGATGCTTGACTTCGTGCTCACGATAGCGGGGGTAATGAAGTACTCGTAGAACGGAGGGCTCCAAAACCTCTCGGAATCACCGGCGCAATAGTATTCTCTTCAAGTCACACAATCTTATGGACATGCATGGTCGTCTCCGCCTCGACTCATGGCGGCTCTGGGGTTGATGTCGACATGATGTTGGTGGCCGGGATGAGTAGAGTCACACAATATGGTGTCGAACCCACACATGAACATAAGTTTAGGCAACAAGGTCTGCAAGGCTATGATGTCGAGATTACGGAGTTAGCACCATCGTCATATTTGGGATTGCAGCTTATGCATCTGCAGCTTCCGCCATGACATCTGATTTTCCTGGCATTCCTTGGCTCGGCCGGCCAGGCGAGAAGATTTCGGGGGTTTAAGCGCATGCGCGTCCTCGCCGAAATCGAGGTACTTCGCAAGACCATGCTGGTTCCTGTGCTTTCCGGGATAATGGAAGACACGGGGAAGCGTATGACGGGTGACGGAGCCACCTTTCGCGCAGATTGAGGCCAAGAACGTCTCAAACTCCCTTTGATCCTGAAGCATGAACTTGCCCAACTTGCCCCACAGCTGCTTGCAAACTAGGACTGGGTGGGTTTGACGCTCTCTGCAAGCAGGAGGAGAGCACGACTGTAGTTCAGTGTCGAAACTGATGGTCGGAATCCCGCACCATAGGTGCGCCTGTTTGTCTCTCTATAACGGTTATTGGCCTTACAAGCTTCCTTTTTAGCATGAGCGCTCTTCTCTGGACCCACTGTTGAGTCACATGGGCAGTTCTCAAAACTAGGGTCCCTGTATAGATCCCAAAATAGTACGGCACCCTTCTAAAAAAGGACCCCTAAAGGGGACCCTAATTTAGAAAGCTACCCTAAAGTGGAGTCTTATCATCTTCGGCCCTTGTAACTGGGCCTCAGTGAAAAAAAGGCAGCACCAATGGCATCGGCACGAAGCTCAAGGCTCGGTTGGCTTCGGGTTTAGGGGTTTAGGGGTTCAGACAGGTTCAGGTTTAGGGGCTTATGGGTTTAGGGGTTTAGGGTTTAGAGGTTTAGGGGTGTAGGGGTTTAGGGTTTAGGGGTTTAGGGTTTAGGGTTGAGGGGTTTAGTGTTTAGGGCTCAGGGGTTTAGGGAAGTTTAGGGTTTACGGTTTAAGATTCTGATTGCGGTGACGACCCCGGTCATGTCGTAGCCTCGTGCTTTTGACTGCCGCTGGAGGGTCTGATGAGAGCTCGTTTGCTAGATTCTGCTAGATGTAAGTTGATGTAAGAGGATGAGTGTTGCTGATCATTGCTCTGTCAACTCATCAGAAGACTTCCAACACCCAAATCGACGACACAGCCCAAAAGGAGCCGGTTCTGTTGCTGGTATGGTTCCAATACCTAAGCCCGTACAAAAAGGCCCGAAAACCCCCAAACCCTAAACCCTAAACCCTAAAACCTAAACCCCTAAACCCTAAACACCTAAAAACCCTAAAAACCATAAAGCCTCAAATCCTGAAGCCTTTTAGAAAGGGAACTCCCTGACCCTGGGCTCTCGTGGCGAGAGGTTGCCACGGCAATGGGGCAATTCCGCAGCATCGGCCGGGCTCCTACTTATTTAGGGTTTTAGGGGTTTAGGGTTTTAGGGTTTTAGGGTTTAGTGGGTTAGGGTTTTAGGGTTTTAGGATTTTTGGGTTTTACGGGTTTAGGGTTTAGGGTTCCCGCTTATGGGGTTTAGGGTTTCAGGGTGTTAGGGTTCCTACTTATTGGGTTTAGGGTCTGGGGTTTAGGGTTCCTACTTATTGGGTTATAGGGTTTAGGGTTTAGGGTACAAGCAGAAGAGTGCTTTAGAGGGCCTCAGGCTTAGAATGTTTAGAACTGATGCGTACAGCGTCTAAGTTTAGGTCCGTTTTTGGCGCCAAGGGGTCCAGGTTTCGAGGTGTCGGCTTGAGGGTCTCCAAAGTGTCGATCACTTCTTGCTTCCATGGTCAGAGAAGCACGCTGTTTCTGGGCCCTTGTTGGATACAATTTTACATGTTTGTTATAATAAAACCCAATAAGGATAAAGAAATGGTCATGTTTAATATATCCCCAACAGGGAACCAGGTTTCGTGACGGTCAGGTAGACAGATTCCCCAGATGTGTTCCTTACATGGGTGACGCGAGGTCCGAAATTCAGAATTGCCTCATGGCACTCTCTTGGTCAGAAGCATGAAGCCACTTACCTGTAACCATTGTGCCCATCCTTCCTTGGACCAGAAGATTTTGAGTTGGGACTCTCATACCGCATTCAGTGGGTAAGTCCTGCATGTGGTTTATCGGGGTATCAGATCCCCTCCCATGGTCTCTTGGCCTCTGCAGGATTTCCATGGATGCTCTTTTTTTTTAATATCGTGTGGAGTCCCTTATAGGGATTTCGACATTATCCCGGCTCCCCCCCCGCAGTGTTGTTGCAGCTTAACATGGCAAGAGCTCCTATGCCTTAATTTGTTGCCTTTTAGCCCTGAAGCCCTGTTCTGCATCACGCCCCAGGAACAGACCTCCTGGCTCTCTGTGCAAACGACATCGCGGCCAGGGGTGTGCGCCGCCTCGGGTGGAGGGAGCCATTTCAGGGGGTCCTGTCACGTTGAGTTGCCAGGGTTCTCACGGCCTGTGCAGTGGTAGTGGACATTCGAATGTCCCCCTAAACCCTAAACCCCAAATGCTAGCTTCGTCAAGGGCCGCGGAATGGACACACACACGCACACACCTATGCAATCTCACGTGGAAGCTTTGCAGCTCTCAGCCCTACACCTTTGCAAACTAAACTCTAGATACTCTAGATCCTAGAACCTAAACACAAAAATCTGGAGCTCTGACATTCCAAACTTTCAAAACCCTAAACCCTAAAACCCTAAAGCCCTAAAGCCTAAACCCTAAACCCTAAAACCTAAAACCCTAAACCCTAAAGCCCTAAAGCCCTAAAGCCCTCAACCCTCAACCCTAAACCCTAAACCTACGTGCATCCCGAAGAGCCCAGAGCCGGAAAAGCTTTCTGAGCCGAAGGCAGAGCCTCTGATGTTCTCCAGCCACCACTCCTGCTGCCAGCTGGATGCGCAGCAAGCGCTCGAGGTAGGGCTTAGGGGTTTAGGGGTTTAGGGGTTTAGGGTTTGGGGTTTTGGGGTTTAGGGGTTTAGGGTTTAGGGGTTTAGGGTTTAGAGTGAATGCTCTATATGATCTTGTTTGAATGATCTGCTTGTAATTGCATGGTCAGTAGAGAAATAGGAGAGTTGGATTGATTCGCAGTAATGGCACGAACAGGATCAGCCTCAATTGTGTTGAATGCTTTTCAGGTAAGGCAACTGAGCTTGGAGCCCGGGCAGCTGAAGAGTCATGAAGATGGCGATCACACAAGGGGATGATGAGGATGATGCTGGCGACGGCGACGAGGAAGACGGCAGCGACAATGCTGAAGATGCTGATTGTAACGGTGATGTCTCTGTACTTTACAGTATCGTACATGTCTTCTCATTCTTGCAGAAAGCGCTAGTACCACTGTAGCTAGTAGTGCACATGCAGGCGAGTAGTAGGTTTGCCACCTTAGTTTAAAAGTCGTAACTATCGGCAAAAACTTAACAAGGGTTCCTTTAAGGGTTCCTGTGAGGGTACTATGAGTTGGGTTCCTAGAAGCCTTTGCCAGGTAAATGAAGGTGTCGCCGAGGGCTGCCGCGAGGCGCGAGCTGTCTTCCCCACGAGCAGGCTTGGAGGCTTTGGCACCCAAGGTGAAGATTGAACTCTAAACCCCAAAATACTAAAAATAGTCAATAGTTGCACATATAGTTTTTTTTTGTATTTATAGTAATACCCTAAACCCCTAAACCCGAGCACTTGAGGTTTGTTGGGCTTTTTCGACGTTTTCGGGAACGGCACTTTGCGAGCCTGACAAAGGCCGTGTGTGCCTTCACCGAAGCAAAGACAGCAGAGATGCCGGGCGTGTACAGCCGGAGGCTCAGAGATTTTTGCTACCACCGGCGATGACCAAAGTTCACTGGTTCATGGCAACGGTGATCGTGGCCTCGATGATGATGATGATGATGACGACGATGCTGTTGATGCTGGTGATAATGACGAGGAGGAGGTGCCAGCGGAAAAAGAGGACACTTTGGATAACGCAGGCCAGGAGAACGAACATGCCCAAGGTGGATGTTGTTCTGCCAGCATTGGGATGCACATGATCCCAACTCCTCACAATAAGTTCCCTGAGCCTCAAGCCTGAAGACAAGCCGATCAAAAGAAGCAAAAAGCAGAAAACCCGGAACCCTCAACCCCAAAC